TGCCACTGTACTTGCATGACAGAAAGGTAGAGGAATAACTATTGAGATATAAATCTTGACGGAGTTGCTGGTGACATGGTATTTAAGCACAGTTCCCACCCTTCTTCTCTTCTTCGCAAGCTCCGAAGAGAAGGCCACTTCCCGTCAATGTACACAAACACAGAATATGAGGTAGTTGCCACCGTGCTTCCATGACAGAAAGGTACAGGAATTGAGATATAAATCTTGACGGAGTTGCTGGTGACATGGTATTTTAAAGCACTGTTCCCAACCTTCTTCTCTTCTTTGCAAGCTCCGAAGAGAAGACCACTTCCTGTCTATCTACACAGAATATGAGGTAGTTGCAACTGTGCTTGGATGACAGAAAGGTACAGGAATTGAGATATAAATCTTATACAGTACAAATTTATTTATTTCTTCCTCAAAACATACAATCAGCAGGGATACATACAATCATACATATACCCTGAATTGCGTACATTTTTTACAACACTTATGCAATATGCTGGGTAACAATATGCAGGCGGCTACCACAAATGCTAGCTACAACATTAAACAGAGCACTGAATCCAAAGCTTAGTCTAGGAAACAGACTTATTGTATAGTTTGACTGCAATGTGTAGGAATGATCCCCTTAAACGTTCAGTTCTGGCCTTCGGAAGCGTAAACTCCTGATTGTTCCTTAATTGCCTGCCAGTGGCTGTACATGGCTGTACATCTTAACAAGGTTGCCGATGACATGGCATTAAGCACTGTTCCCACCCTTCTTCTCTTTGCAAGTTCCGAAGAGAAGACCACTTCCCATCTATGTACATGTACACAAACACAGAATATGAGGTAGTTGCCACTGTACTTCCATGACAGAAAGGTAGAGGAATTGAGATATAAATCTTGACAAGGTTGCCGGTGACATGGTATTTAAGCACAGTTCCCACCTTCTTCTCTTCTTTGCAAGCTCCGAAGAGAAGGCCACTACCTGTCTATGTACACAGAATATGAGGTAGTTGCCATCGTGCTTCCATGACAGAAAGGTAGAGGAATTGAGATATAAATCATGACAAGGTTGCCAGTGACATGGTATTTAAGCACAGTTTCCACCCTTCTTCTCTTCTTTGCAAGCTCCGAAGAGAAGACCACTACCTGTCTATGTACCCCGAATATGAGGTAGTTGCCATCGTACTTCCATGACAGAAAGGTAGAGGTTAAGTACTGAGATATAAATCATGACAAGGTTGCGGTGACATGGTATTTAAGCACAGTTCCCACCCTTCTTCTCTTCTTTGCAAGCTCCGAAAAGAAGACCACTACCTCTCTATGTACACAGAATATGAGGTAGTTGCCACTGTACTTGCATGACAGAAAGGTAGAAGCTAGAATTGAGATATAAATCATGACAAGGTTGGTGGTGACATGGTATTTAAGCACAGTTCCCACCCTCCTTCTCCCAGCCTTGTAAAGAACAGGTTGGGCTCTCCCCGCCCGCTTCGACCTTTCCCAATGAGTGAGGTCAAGAAGTGCCTGGCGAGCGTGACAGCTCCCTCGTCTGCGGTTCTGACCATTTACCAGCCTTGACAGCTCCTATTCAGCAGCTATCAGCCTCAAGGTGTGACTGTCAGCACCCCCATACAAATGTCTCTCAGCAAGTTTTCCTCCTTCCATTTAAATGCCTCCATGTTGCGTGACAAGAAAATCATAACTACCCTTATGGTACTGTAGATCTGTTTTAGGCTCGTGGTACTTAAATTTTACTGTACTGTCAACATCAAGAGTTTGCAATTTTTTTGAGATAGTAACAAAATTGAGTACAGATCGTATTTTTGCACTTTAAAGAGTTTGTGGCAAGAGGTCATTGCAAAAACTTTGAAGTCAAAAACACCTTGAAAATTTTCAAATTTTACTGTCAATGGCTGTCAACATTTGGTGTTAAGTCTTTTGTTCTGCAACCACTTAGTATACGACAGCAATTTTTCCACTTGGACATTGTCTTTCTCTGTCTTCCATGCATTGTTTCCTTTGGGAGTCTTTGTCAAATACCGGTATGCTCTGCAGATCTGTGAAGCTGGTCAGAGTAAGTTGAGCATGTAGTAATGCATGGAAGAGACTTAGGAAAGTGTCAAAAACTTTCACTGAGCAAGCCCAAAGTTTGGGGAGTTTTCCAGGGCAAAATTAGCTGTCCTAATGAAGGAGGGTGAAGTGCTCTTAAGTGCTAAAAGGTCGTTAGGAGCACGGCCTCTGCTGTCAGGATTGTAGTGCTGAAACACGCTCCGTTTTCTTCTTACTCACTGTTGACTCATCAAAGCGCCCGTTATATATGTGTAGAGTAGAGCTGAATAGTGACAGCGCATCTGACATCCTAATAAACACTGGAGGAGGAAGTTTGATTGGCGAGCAATGCAGCCCATCTTCCAGATGCTCTTCCTGCAGTTATCGGGGTAATTTTCTGTCCGCCGATAATGCCTGTTATCCATCTCTAAAGTGTCCATAATTGTGAAAAACGGTGTGTCAAGCAGGCAGGCTGTCTCCATCCTCCTCCTCACTGCCTGACAGATTGCCAATAAACCACTTCTCTGCCTCATTAGCTAAGTGCCTGGTCTGTACTTTTACTCACCCTTGCATCATACAGGCTTTCCTTCAGAATTAAAATCTGCCCTCTCCCAATCGTTTCTTGTGCTGACCCCTCGAACTGTTCACCTTGGCCAGACCGTATGGCTCTCGGCCGGCCAGATTTGGCCATAAAAGATATTGGCTATGAAGGCAACACGCTGGGTGTTGTCGAGCTCACTTTACCGGCACTCCCTCATTTCGCAAAAAAGGCTATAATCGACCGCTTTCCGGCAACGCTACCTCCAGCCTAGCTACCACGTCCAATATATCCCGCCATCGCTGTTCGGTAATTTTGATATGAGCAAAAAAATGGAGTGCTGGGTGGGTTTTTCCCGCACCATGTCATCAGAGCGCTCCCTCTCTGCAAATTTCCCCCGAGATTGTTAATCTTGGCACCATATTTCAACAAACATGAGCATATTGATCTGGGTGGGCCTGTATAGAGAGTGGTAATGAGGTAGTGGATTGGCAAGGGTGATGAAGTGAAAAATAAAGATGGGTTGTTACTACCTGTCTCTATTCATCATCATAGCCCTCATCGTTAGGGGAAGGTCTGGGTGGTGAGATCAAAGAGAAACAAGGTGTTTTCTTGTGTCGACAGCCATCAAAACTTTTCATTTGGGAGGTAATTTATCATCAAATTTTATCCCAGACCCTTAGCAAGTAAAAGATGACTCTGAAATACAGAGACAGACTGATACAGACTAAATACATTAAGATCTATAAACACATCTTAATAGGCAGGTGATCCATAACAAAAATTAAATCCATAATGTCATCAAAGGCAAACAAACAACATATTTGATAACCATGTAGACAGTAAACAAATAATTCCTATCAGCAAATTACGTTTTGTCATAAATATACTGTATATAAAGTATGATGTTTATTGAGTGCATGATCATGTAGAATTCTTGCATGTACACAGACTGATATGCATATCATAGAATTATTTTACGATAGCCCAGAAAAGTATTTTTTTGTTAAACATGTGCTCCATTCACTAAGCAGCAAAAAAACTCAGAAAGGAAAAAAAGATTTCTATTGTTTGTCTTTTATCAGTGATGTTTAGGTTTGATAAAGGGACACAGGAATTTCGTCTTTTTTTTTCTCAAAACACAAGAACCAAGTATGTGATTTCTGACAGCCTGTAGCAGCTGAAAATTGGGCCGTTGGTGGGAGTGCTGCGTAGATGAGGCATTCTGGTAGAGGAGGGGACCCCGTGATTCCCCGTGCATTGATTAGGGAGGGAACAACGCCATTTGTCTGCTCCAATGTTCCAGGCCCGGGCATTTGTCTAGGACAAAGTGCCCTCCCTTTGTCCCGCAAATTGTGCCAATTAGAACCTTCCAGGGGGTTGTGTTGACATTTCTCAACTGCGGAACAACCGCCTGTAAAAATGTCAGCAGTAATGTAGCAAGGCTCGAATGGCATTGTAATGTTGGCGTGCATAACTTAATCGATTAATAAGATGAGCACAAAGTTATTAGTTTCCAAAAGTTGTGGATGATTTGTGGTAGTAAGAGTCAGACATCACATTGATTGGTCTTGCTTTTTGACTTCAGGCGAGTCTGACATAAACGAATTAAAAATTTAATCAAGTAGAAAGTTAATAAGAGACATTGCTTGAATTCCTTGTCAATTAAAGAGATAAGAATCTTACAACGAAACACCTTGCCTGGAACAGGTGGTCCATGTCCAAAGTGCGGTAAGCCAGAAAAGCTGACTGGTACTGTTCACAACTTTGCCATTTAGCAACCTGTTTAGGAAAGCAAAGATCTCATTATCTCTGTGAATTTTTCTTTTATTATTGACTTTGTTGATGATTTTTTTTCTTGACTATCTTGATGATTTTGTCACTGGCTCCCAAATGGCAATAGATATGGATATGGCATGTACTGTATATGCAAGGTGGTTATTTGTAAATCAGAGGTTTCATGTTTGAAGAGAGCCACACCATGTGTTAAAGAACCCACCAAATTCATTCATAAGCTAAAGATTCCTTTCCAGTGGGACTGCATTGAACAAACCTTTAAGTTAGTTAATTAGTCTGTTATTTTGCAGCTTACATAACTGTTGTGTTTAATTAATATCCGTGTCCATGATATCACCAGGGTCCATAATATCGCCACCTTGAGAAAAAGTGTGCTTAAAGATATTTTTACTGCAACATACCCTAGGTATGTACATTCGAGGTGTTCAGTAGTGCAAACCAAAAGTATGTTGCAGTAAAAATATCTTAAAGCACACTATTTCTCAAGGTGGCGATATTATAGACCCTGGTGATATTATGGACAATAATGTTAAATACAAATACAATTGTGTTATGCCTTGAGGTAGTTTGATTGTAAACAATTATATGAACAAACGAAATCAATTGTTTTGTTTTTCACCAGTCGCTCCCCACAGTACAAGGCCACTCTCTCTGCAACAGCACCTGTGACTACCTCAGCTACACCAGCACCAACAAACAGGGGGACTGCCCTGCCCCGGAGGACGCGCAGGGCTTCGCTGCAGCATGTGTGGAGAGCTGTAGTGCTGATCAAGACTGCAAGGGGGCATTAAAGTGTTGTCCCAATGGATGTGGCCATACCTGTCAAGAGCCGCTCAACAGACATACAGGTACAATGTGATCATTAAAACCTACTTTACTACACACAGCCATGCTAGATGTTGTCTTACCTTGTTCATACATATATTTCAGTCAACTCCAAATTAGAACAATGCATTACACACAGATGATAGCTTGTAGCTGCCACTTTTTGTTAGTTTTGTGAGTAATTTGTGATAGGTTTTATGGCCAAAGTATGCATTGTGAAATTTCAGCTCTCTCGCTTGAGAGGTTTGCTTGTATGAAACTTCATGAGCCGTTGTCCATTGAAAAGCGATCATGCATGCCTTCTCACTTACTACCACCGGACAATATTACACCAGGAAAACTTGATATTGACTCTGCTGAAATTCCCCGGCACACATATATCCTAGCCAGACACCAAATGGAGCATGAAAGCATGTCTGATAGCACCTGCCGTCAAAATGGAAGAAAAATTTGGTCTTGGCAAGGCATTATTTGAAATCCATAACCGTTCCCCAATGGTAATCACATGCCCTCAGTACAGACAGGCAGACAATTTCTGATGGCATCCCTCTGGGATAAAAGCAGATTTTGTGTGTGATTATGATGAATATTTTGCAGTAGAAACTGATCTTATCTGATGATAAAATATTGTTCTTTATCAGAAAGTTTTGGTACATCAGTCTGAGCTTGCATAAAGCCTCTAGAGAGAATCAATATGTGACTGTTCCCGAATATGCAAATATTTGGACTTAGATGCTAACCTCCAATCCAGGTGGAAAGTCCACACTGCGCCTTTCCTTGTGCTGCTTTGTTTTATGAGGCAGAGTTGTAGTCACTTGTAATCAAAGTTGTAGTCAAGTCAGCCATCAGGCTGGTACATAGGTTACTTTTTAGTTCAGGATGTACTAGAGGTTCGCATAGTTAGGGAAGGGTCAGATGTACATTTGTAGCTCATGAAAGGCTGGATATTAGATAATTCCCTCTTGGGTCAGATTGGTGCAGAATTACATCACATTTATACCCATTTTTTTTTCATATTTTTTATTGAAGAAACAGTCCAAGCCAAGTCATCTTTCCTGTGCTTGTTTGTTGAAATACAACTTGAAACTTCACATTTTAGTCTTTTATGTGTGACAAAAATACTATAAAACTTATTAAAAGTTGAACAATGGAGTGCTTACAAGCATCATATGAAAAATAAGAAAAGGTCCTCCAGATTTCATACTTTGCCTGAAACGGGTAATGAGAAATCATCATTGGAGGAAGGAATGAAAAGCTTACAGAAATTGTCAGCATTTTTTTGTCCATTTTTTATGGATATGATACAGCCAGTCACCATGTTGGTGACTGGCTGTATCATATCCTTGTTCAATTTTCAAATGACTTAGAGTATACATTGTATAGTATAAAAGTATGGTCTTGTGATAGCTGGATTGGTTATACAGGCAAAGTACTGCCATGCTGTCTGAAAATAGCCAGATTAAGTGCCAGCAAACTTTTAACGATTCCGTTTTTCCCAGGCTATAGCTATGTGGACCCCTAGTGGTTCTGAGTGGTATAGTGCATGGTCGGGTGGAGTTTATGAGGTGAAAATGATGATGTGTGTGTCTGTATCGCCCCTCCCAGACACATCCGCAGCCATCGCACTCCCCTGAGTGGTCATCCAATCCCGGAGCTGAATTTTTCATGAGTTTTGATGGCAGTCGTCCAAAGCCTCATATTTACCCAAAATCAATAAAGTCTGTATTAGATGAATTGTATAAAACATGAGTGAGGTCCATCCTCCCAAAATCTTGTTAAACCCAGTGTCAACATTGATATATAAGAGCATTTCAAGTTTTCAAGCCAGTTCTCAAACTGTGCTTTGTGGCATCAACATTGCACAATGGCGAAAACTTGCTTATTCATAAAAGAGATTAAATCTCAGGTATTTTTTTGTAAGATTATCTGTATAGGTATGATAAATGGTGTCATTATGCAGCGCAAAATCACCACAATATCATCTACCACAAGTTCCTGCATGGAATGAAAAGAATAAACGGTTTTGTTTAATTCATGAAAACAAAAATTGCGGAGCAGACAAAGGGGATGATGTCATAGAGAGGAAAGATTTAGTAGTTGGGTGATAGTTGGAGATTAATTGATGATGATGTTTTGTGCCGGAGTGATTCCAAATCAAAAGGCTGTTTGGGTTAGAGGTACATTATAGATCCGGCCTGGGGTTACAGATTGAAGCTTAATGATTTCTGATGGTCCCTTTGGACTTTGTGGTTATTTTCTGTCATTTTTTTGCACAGCAAGGAAAATTGCTGATATGAGGGACAGATATGACACTAAATTTGTGAAAAAATGAAAAAACTGTAAAAAAGGTGCTTTGTGGTTATTTTCTGTCATTTTTTTGCACAGCAAGGAAAATTGCTGATATGAGGGACAGATACGACACTAAATTTGTGAAAAAATGAAAAAACTGTAAAAAAGGTGCTTTGTGGTTATTTTCTGTCATTTTTTTGCACAGCAAGGAAAATTGCTGATATGAGGGGCAGATACGACACTAAATTTGTGAAAAAATGAGAAAACTGTAAAAAAAATTTATGATGATGGTTTTGAGTCATTATGTTGGGACAATAGAGAATGGTTTATGATGTGTAGATGTGAAACCATTTTTGTCAATGAAAGTTTTTATATGGGCATTGAGCACCTTTTTTTATAAGAATTAAATGTCCTTTTTAGGTAATTATGAGAGGTTTTATTTTTCCACAAAAGCTGATTACCCAGCGGCAAAGAAACAAACTGTACGGAAAAGAATAAAAATATAAGTAGAGAAATGAAATTCAAATTTTTCACATCAAACGTCAAGGTGGTAGTTTACTATTCTATGCCAATAGATTCATTGATTTCATGCCTAATTCATATGGATTGTTTTGTTTGTAGATTGACCAAAGTTCCTGTGAGCTTTGTGAAAATTGTGTAAAAATAATGAGATCAAAGAAATCAGACTATGTCCCAATGTCATTTCACATCATTAAGCTGTGCTGGTATGTGTGTTAGGTTCGAGGGAATCAAATTTACAGCGTGCTATAACAATATTATGATAATCAAATAAAGGAGAAGTGTGTGAAAAGTTTTCGGTGGCAAGGTTCATCTCTTTTCTCATAATATGGGACATGAAGGGATAATTTGACACATTTTACCTCATTTTTACCTCGTTACCCAAAAGTGCTGACCACGGACAGGGGGGGAATTTTGGGTCAAATTGGATCAAAATTAAAGTTGGATGAGGTCCCCACAGAGACAATACCGGAAATTGGATTCAGCAATCTCCTGCCCTTGAATTTCCCAAACCAATCGGCACAGGGATACATATGAAAGAGAATGCTTGACTTGTGATAATCTATCACTCACTTTGATTGTCCCTTTGGAAGCAATCACTTTTAGGTGTCCTTTGTGCAAAGTTTTCTGTCACATCATGATAGTTTTCCTAGATTTCTTTTTCTCTATCAATCACCCATACAGATAATGTTTTTACATAAATCAATATCAAATAGATTCATATTTTAGATAATGCATGTTTGATCCACATGGTATACATATAAACCAGCTGTTATGCCTTGACATACGTTACAAACAGAAGCTCAGTGTCTAGAATTTTGACATTTAATTATAATAGCATACAACATGGTAACAGCTTGCTGGTAACAAACAGTACATACCAAAGAAGTTGAGTGTTTACCATTGCCACAGACAGGCACGTTGAAGTTTTATGAATCAGCGCTGGAAGGCAGTTCGGAGCGGTGAATAATGAAGTAGCTATTACAAGGTCATGAATAACACATAAGCCGGCAGTATGGATTATTTGGTTGCTCGGATAAGCCTGGCAGACTGTTGAGGCTTGGCTCCTAAGCTGTTTCCTGTATCAGTGTAATCTCTGGGTCTTACATCTAAGCCAGTTTAAATGTTTTAGGAGGGGCATGTATGAACATGGATTTTATCATTTACATGGTACACAGGGTGCATTGAGCCAGGATTCAATGTGTCAGTACTCATCCACACAACTACTGGATTTTTACAGCAAGAGCTGTAGTGTATGTATATGGAACAGTGATAACATCAGTTTATGGTTTAGCCTTATTCACCAAATCTAAATACTGTACTTACTTTATGACTGACTATCGTGGTTCTGTCCTTGGTGCTGAATGAAAGATGACTGCTGGATTTTACCTCATTACCTGTAGTTTATGAAACAATGCTAGCACCAATTTTGCAAGTTTTGATCAGATGTATCTACACATGTAATCCTAATGCATACTTATTATGACTTTCATGGTTATGTCCTTGGTGCTGAAACATGGCTGATTGCTTTTATATTATACCTCAACAACTGTATGAATATGAATATGAAACAGTGATAATATCAACTCATTTGTCCAACCTAAATCCCCTTTAAGCATTATTATGGTCATGTCCTTGATGCTGAATGAACTTCATGACAGTTATATCCGCTTAAAAAGACTCAACCATGTTCCTACATATATATTGAATATTTTCTATATTAAGTGTGGAAAAGTTTCAAGCAAAGATGAAAATTGCAGTGATGAAGACAATCATTACCTTTCCTTTTTCAAGTTTCTTTTCAAGACATCTAAGTCTGATGAGTGCAAAACTATTGTTTATTGGCTGAAGAAAACAACGGAGAAAATTAAAAAAAAAAGATAACAGAGCTCTCAAGATGCAGAATAACATATCTAAGATGCAAAATGAAGATGCAGAATGCACTAGACAATGATGATTGGCTAAAGATCACATGACTTATGTTCTATCACGCTGCCTTCCAGGGACACCTCCCCGCTTCGCAGAACGTCCTGTTGCCATAGAAACCAAGAAAGGCCAGTCCATCGTGGTGGAGTGGTCATCGCAGAAGAAGTTTGACCATGCGGTGTTCCTGCTACAGGAGCGGTCAGCGGTGGGGAAGTATGTGAAGGAGACAGACATGTCAGACTGGGAACTGGTGGAACAGGTAAATGTGGTTCCGAAAATAATTTCATTAGGTTGGTAGGACATAGGATATTGGGACTTGAACCTTTTCACAACTAGAGATTTTCTGTCAGACACCTTTCTCAGAACTTCTGGAGTGCTGCGTCTCATTGTGATGTGTAGCTGATGTACATGGGATTGTGTTCTCGCAGCAAAAGTGCTACATCAGTTACATATAGCAGCAAGAAGCAGCACTCCAGTCAGAAGCTCTGAGGATGGTGTCTGATAGACATTGAAACGTAAGAAAGGTGAGAGGAGTTCTGGTTGTGAAAAAGAAAGTCCTAATATCCTACAAATGTAGTAAATGTGGTGTATTCATCTTGCAGAATAGAGCCTTATTTGCAGGATCTTCCACCAATACTAACTCTAGATTGCCGCCTTATGTGAAAGGTAGAAAGGTACATGTATACCATGCAATAGTTTCAGATAGCTCATAGTTTTGATTACTATGTCACTACAGACAACGTCCCAGGCAACTGTTGTGAAGGCCCACAGAGGTAGATGGTACCAGTGGAGACTGGCAGCAGTGAATGAGAACGGCACCAGGGGCTTCAGTGAACCCAGCAAGGCAGAGAGGCTCAGGAAAGGTGGGATATCATCATAGCCTAACACACTCCAAGTTGGGCTGTTGAAACTTGGAATTTTGATATCCTTGTCTTGATCCAAAGATTTTTTCAACTTGCTGCTCTAGAACGGAAAACTTCTTCAAGCCAGCACAAACATTCATAGCGATTGACAGATTGATATTCAAACACTTGTAATCTTAAAAGAAAGCTGTCGGATAGCCCAAGGTGAAATCACTTGGTCACAAGTCTGGTATTTGCCTACAAGAACCCAGGGAAATTCCGCCGAGTACTTTTCAAACAGCAACAATCATTGAACTGGAAAAAGAGATAGGAAATGCTATACAGGAATTTTGTCTACACTTGCCTTTTTCATATTCACCTATATTGTATATCTGTAGCATTTTCAAGGCTAAAATGTATGTATTTTTGTAGATCCTGCTCATCCAAGTCCTCCATGGAATCTAACTGAGGGTGACTTTGACATCAAGGATGGGAAAATCTCCGTAAACGTCCACTGGTACCCACCGGCGTACAGCGACCTCCCCATCACCAGATATCGCGTGTACTGGAGCAAGAGGTTAAAGGGCGTGACCCCTGGCCTTATGAAGCTGAAGGAACACAGGAAGAGTGTGAGAACTCCCATGATCACCCTGGACGGCCTGGAGCCAGACACTAGCTACTTTGTACAGGTACTTCAGCTCTTCAGAAGTTTCTCTGTCATTACTCCATGCATACTGTGTCCATTCATCTTGTTGTAACTGGTGGGAGAATAGCTTTACAGAGCACATCGGCAGAACATACTGCACCTGCACGAAACTTGTAATGTATTGCACTTCGGTAGAACATCTCATATAAGGTAGTATTCATGCATATAAGGTTAACGTCTGTAGTTTCGAAATGTTATGTTGGAAAAAATATTGTCTGCAACAGGTAAAATTCTGATGCAACGTTGACCAAAAATCCAATGAAAACCGTGGAAAATCAGGGTTTCGCATAGGCGCAGTATGTTCTCCCAACAGGCTGCTTTACAGTAAGTTGAAACTGATATATGTCCATCTTTTCATCCATGCAGGTCCAAGCCTTTGCCAACTGGGGAGACAACGAGAGGCTACGCAGTGATCGAGAGTCTTTCTTTCTCAGCACCATCCCTCTCCCTATAGGTGAGACATTATTTTGTACTTGAACTAGGAAACTAACCAAGTAGTTGTGCTAAGTATTCATTCCCCAGTCCTTGTGTCTGTGTCCCTCAAGCTAGGCAAGATAAGACCTTGAATGTTCGTTGACTGGTGAAAAATTTGACAGATTTCTTCATTCACAGTGAGTGTTTAGTGATCTCCAAGGTCTTCCATATCTCTAAATAGTCATCACTGATTTTTTGTTGCCCAATGGTCTTAATCGGCCTTACACAATTGTTTTGTTTAATTTCATTGGGTGCCGCCTGACATGGCTGAATGTATTGGCTGACACGATTGGTTTGTTTTCTTCAGAGTTGCCGCCGACCCCGCCCAACCCTGTCATCTTGCGTCTGCACTCTCCCAGCGCGGTGCAGAACCTGTCGATAGAGGAGCCGTTTTTCCACCACGATAGAGTCAAGGCCAAGGTCTCCTGGGGCCTGCCTGAAGGTAAAGGTCAAACTGTCAAGATTTAGACTGTTTATGTGCATGTATCTAAATGTTTCATGTTGTGTTGATTATAATGTGTGTTTTTATGACCACTGGAAAAATAGTGTCATGGTAAAGTCTTAGTGGATCAAAATAAAAGTCAACTAAACTCAACTAGAGTCCTCAATTTTTCTCTGTCCTGGTTGTTATACTTTCATGGATGTGTCAATGGTAGGAGTATGTAACCTGGAGTCCAGCCTTGTTAGCTTTGGTAGGGAGGTAGGGGATCTTTGGGAGCAGACCAATGCTATTAAACAAGGCTGGACTCCAGGCTAAGGAGGATGACATTTCTTACAAAGTTGGACTGAGTTCAACTTTAAGATGTCCTCAAGAATAGAAAACTGATGTTAAAAGACAGAGGTACATGTACAAGGTCTTGCCATTATCAAACATTGCCAATAATTCCTTTTCAGGTGAGACGCACAAGTCAGTAACTAAGTTCATGCTGCGATGGGTGCCCACAGTGTGTGGGGATGGGTACAGCGGAGACGGCACACTTCTCAGTAGGATCAAGGAGGCCACAACGCATGTAGGTGTACCTCTCCCTCACTCAATCCATCTACATGTACCAGTAGCTCATTTGGAATTAACCACTCCATAAGTTTGCTCCTTAATTTGCTTATTCTTCCTGTCAGTCACAGTGCATCACTTTAACCAGCTTCTTTCTGTCTAGGTTTGTTTCATCTTAAAGTTTATAAATTAAGTTTTTCCCTGGCCTTCCATAGCTCTTTTCTCCATGAGTAAAACACAATACATGTGCATGTAGCAGAGTTTAAAAGAATCTAAGCACTGTTTTAGGTCTAAGTGCATTTTCTTTTTATATATCTGAGGTAAACATTGTCACATTCTACAATTATAATTGAGATAGTAGAATGTTTGATGCAGTTTCCCTGCTCATGATTTCTATTCCCTCTCTGTAGAATCTTGACTTTGACATCTACGACCTGAGGTTTGACTGTCACTACGAGGTCAGAGTTCACGCCGTGTCGTCAGAGGGGGTGATGGGAAGGGAGACGGGGATCCACTTCTACAGTCCGCCGTGTCGCGAGATTAGGATCAGGGGACGGCAGAGGCCGGACTGTCCCACGCCTGGTCAGTGGTACTCCTACAGTACACTTAGTGACACTACACTACACTACACTACACTACACTACACTATACTACAGAACACTAGGCCTGGTCAGTGGTACTCCTACACAACACTTAGTAACACTACACTACATACACTATGCTATACTATACTACACTACTCCTGGTCAGTGGTACTCTACACAACACTTAGTGACACTGCACTACACTACACTATACTACACTACACTACTTTTGGTCAGTTTTACTCCTACACAACACTTACATTGTAGTGACACTGCACTACACTACACTATACTACATGTGTACTACACTGCTCCTGGTCAGTGGTACTCCTACAAAACACTTAGTAACACTACACTACACAACACTACACTATACTATACTACACTACACTACTCCTGGTCAGTGGTACCTCTACACTATACTACACTGTACTACACAACACTTAGTGACACTACACTACACTATACTACATGTATATAACACTACTCCTGGTCAGTGGTACACTACACTACACTACTGGTCAGTGGTACTCCTACACAACACTTAGTGACACTACACTATATATACTACCCTACTCCTGGTCAGTGGTACTCCTACACAACACTTAGTGACACTACACTACACTATACTACATGTATACTACACTACTCCTGGTCAGTGGTACCGGTACTCCTACACAACACAACACTACAGTACTGTACTACACCACACTACACCGAACCACACTACACTATATAATACGGTATACCACACCACACTATACTACATGTATGCTATGGTACACTGCACTGCACTACACTACGCTATGCCACACTATACTGCACTGCACTTCACTACTCTACGCTACACTACACTATGCTAAACTACAACAATTATACATTACACTGTACCACTCTGTAATACCTCAACTTGTTTTCTGACCTTCCAGCCCCAGACGTGCCCCAGCAGCCCCAGAACCTGTCCTTTGTGTTCTTCATGGCGGATGGGAACGTGACGGGACAGTTCAAGTGGAGAATGCCTGTCCAGTCAGACAAGCCAGTTACAGGTGGGTACAGAGATTGGGTGTAGCAGGATGTTCAGTGTGATATACTAGTAGCTAGCTGCCACTGCGCTGCATTCCTGCAAAGCTGGTGTGTTACACCGAAGGGTGGTAATACTGGCTGTGCAGATACAGATACAGAGACAATTATCTTAAAATAACCTACCACTCTTGTCAAAAAGTGAGGGCGGTCTATCTTTGGTGTGAGTGGATCAAAACCATGCAGATCTTAATTGGGTACAGAATGTTCCCCAGCAGCCTTTGTAACGGTTACCATCTTTTGCTTCTGAAATCTCTTATTGGGTCAGTTAGTCTTCACTCTCAGTAAGTCAAGCTTCTGTTGAGCAGTGATGTTTCTGACGTAGAGAGAGAAGAGACATGCTGTTTTAGTCCTGTTCATGTAACCCATAACCTTGATGTGGCCTTTGGGTCTTATGTTATGTTGTGAGTCTGGTGACCATTGAGTTAAGACTTGTCAAATGACAGGATAGTACAGTATTTTATGTTGTCAGCTGGTTATTTTTCCTCTGGTTGATGTGTGGGTCCTTTTGTTTTGTTCAGGTTTCCGTGTGATGTGGGGAGAGCAGGTCAGCTCCTCCAAAGGTGTGGCCAATGGTCTGCCCCAGACACCCGTCATAGACAGGACAAGTGCAAAGGCGAAAATGCTGCCCAAGGTGAGTCAGTCATCCAATACCTCAGGGAGTTCTTATTAGAGGTCTAGTGGAGAGAAATGTTTTGTGTTAAGTTTAACAATCTGTAAGTGATCATGTGCAAATTTCCGTGATTTTCCAGTCTTTCTTTGTAGGCCAAGTTCAGCTATCTTTTTTTTTTTCATTGTGTCAATTTTCTTGTGCTAATCAGGTTGTAAAACGGAACTATTTTTGGTTTGAAGAAAAGTGAAAATACTCTGTCATATATCCAAGACAGAAATATTTATCAAGAGTGACTGTGCTTGTTTTGAGTGACACAGACCTACCTTTTTGGCAACACCCATGGGGCAGAGCTTACAAAGTGATATTACAATGCTTTCTATGCTTGTTTCCCCTCTACAGGACCAGTTTACCCACCTGATCCAGGGTTTGACCCCTGGCCGACCCTACGTGCTGCAGGTTCAGGCGCTGTCAGAGGTCGGCGGGGGAGCCATGGCGCAGCTCGAGTTCACCGTTCCTCCCATCAGGCAACAGTCCAACTGTAAGTCCCTCCCTTGCACTGCATGATGGGAAGGCTGGAAACCACTTCTCATGTTTTCAACTTCAATGTACTTTGAGTAAAGAGACATTTTTTACACAACCAAGTCTTTTATTCAGCTGACGTTTCAGTGAACGTCTGTCACCTTCCTCAAGGCAATTCTGACTGGTTCACATTGCACTGCAGCACAGGTGTCGCTGCTATAGATGCATTCCCAAATGTACAATATTTACATATCTACACATATAGGTTCTTCCTCAATCGACATATTTTTGACATGTTATTCTGCCTTTATTTTACAGATATCCCTCCTATAGGGAGACCGTCATATGCGGAGGAGTGGGAGAGAAAATTCCAGGGTTACAACACGGACCTCTTCCAAGACGACGAGAGAAGAAACGGCGTCTCCCCTCAGAGCACCGCCCGAACTAGAACGTCGCCATCTTGGGCGCAACAAAACCCGGGGAGCGAAGCAAACAGCGATCCCCGCGCCTCGGCACAGTCGTTAAGATTGTGTTGGGTCACAGTGCTACTGTGCTCCTTTACAATTGTTGCAGGATTCTCTTGTTTGTAAATATACTTAATGTGTAACTGTAAATAGAACGTAATTAGTGAAAATGATAATTATGATGGTGATGAGTGTTCCAGAGAGGCCAAGAACGGACATTTTGCTGGCAGACACCTGTTTAGTTGTGTGTCAGAATAGCATTAGTTAAACCGAATAGGTTGGCTGTTCACAGATAATTTTATCTATAGCTTAGGTGTAACTGCCAGCAAATAGTCCATTGTTGGTCCTGTCTGTACAATCTGTGATTGTCTGCGATGTTATGAACTGCTAGGTGTATGGAGCTTTCTGTCTTCCTTTTTAGGTTAATGACTCTAAATATGGCAAGGGAACGTTCTCTGAGGACCCTTTTTGTCACATTGATCATTTTAAAGGTGGCTATTGTTTCACAACAAGGTGCCAGTAGTTTGTGTGTCATCACCATGGTTTACACAAAATATACAGGCACTGAATGCTGCAACATCCAGCCTTATAGATTGTAGTTTTGGATGGGAATGATGGCAAAGTTAATATATCAAGCAGTTCATATCTGTTGTTCCTATTGTTGGAGCTAGCGTGTGCGTCGGGTGCACTTGTTGCTGCACTACTTGTGTGCGATGGTTGTTGCAATAGTCAAGGCATAAAAAAAACTGGGTCTATTTAAGGTTATCTCCTCACTATATGTGGAAGACTTTTATCTCTTTCGAAACCACACATGAAAGGCCACACCGATTTGATTCTTTGTTCGTAAAAAAAATAAGTGCAACCACAAAGAAAAAAGAAAACAAGAAAAAATCTTGCCAAGGCTGGACACTTAAAAAAAAACTCTGTGATGTATATTTAACACACTGAATCATTCAGATACATCAGCTTTATTCCAAGGAAAAAGGAAAAGATTAGTACAGTCAACATTAATGACAACTCATTAGATTAGCTGCTTATATTACAATATTATTAATATACCTTTTTATAAAAATCACAATATTTACTATAGGAAAACTAATACCATAGGAAAACTAAGGAATCAAATCGGTGTGGACAGAAAGCAGTGGATCGTTTTAATGTCTTCCGTGAATTCCTTCCTTTAAGAGTAAGAAAGGAATCCCTGTCATAAAAAGGACTGTTAAACACAGACTCAATTATCTTGTGTGAACCAGAAAGGTCCAGCCTGTAAAACTGCAACAAGACTGTCCTAATTATGATACATGTACCAAGTTATGATTATGTAGCAGGTTGTTAGATAGGATAATAGTGTCAGATTTTTGTGTGTCATAAAAAATCTGATGATCTTGCTTGGTTTAGAAAACTTAATGCCATCCAAATGAACAGGGTTTTGTGTAATAGGTTGTGATACTTCCAAATTTATTGCATTTAGTTTCAGCTTTTCTGTGCCCAAGTCACCCAGATGTGCTGACATGAGCAATTTTCCATATAACATTACAATGCTGTGGCAGTTTACCTAAAGTCATTTCCTGGCATTTTTTTTCCAGGCAAATTTATTTACTTGTAACAGTAATTTTGACCAAATTTCATTCCATTTTATGAGGTTCAGAGAATATCTTTATCTGTAACAAGAACCAAAACCTTAGCTAGAATCTCTTAATATAGCTATGAATATGCTTTAGAACTGGAGAATTTATTGTTTTCCATTGTAACAACAACATGGAACACTCTTTGTGATGTGGTCATCTTGACTTGCCATACTCCAGAAGCCCCAACGACCTGGATAGTAATGGTGCTATGTGTTCTGTTTAGAACTTAAGTTTCACTACTTAAAGGAAATAAGCTATTACTTAGACAGGCCAGCTTCTTGCAGTAAGCATCTAATTTAGCACAACCGCTGCAGCTATGGCCAAACACCTACACCTATAGCATTCGCTTCAGCTCATTTAAGCCCTACCAGCAAAAGCTGGGGTGATTTTGCTGTCGCTCGTAAAATAGCAATCACAAAGCCATTCATAAGGTGCCAATTTCAAGGCTCTGCGCTTAATACAATCCTCTTAGCAAGGGCCGCAGTTTACTCTTACTGTTGGTTTTACTACGTCGTTTTACTATGCCGGCTCACGCCTGCCGCGAAACACGATTTACGACGGCTATTGGGGAGGGCTTTAAGTTAGTGGCTCGAGCATTTTCAAGGGTAAACACGTAGATCATGACGCCGAATACGGCCGGCTTACTGCTTCATTTGTTGTAAAATCACGCTTTGGGTGGCGAAACTTGCCAAGACAAAGTGTGAAGTAAATGACCGTGTATAACACATTAGCACACAGGGGAAGGACCGCTCGATTATTCCCCCACCTACTTAGTATTCCATCCAGGACCAGGTCTAGGTGCTTTCATACATTGATTGTAGTTTAGTTTATGTCCGACACATCACCTTTTGTGGTGTTGCAGTTTTTATCTGCGAGGTTATAGAGTATAAAATTACTTTGTGTACAAACCTTTATTGAGCATTGAGGTGCTTATTTTTCTGCACCATCTCTCTGCAACTTAGTTTGCCCGACATTGTCACTTCCCTGGATCACATTCCATTAAGTAGTGTGTAAAGAGCAGTTACAGTACGGTATTTCAGGAGGATGCAAATACACAGTAAAGAACTATTTTATGACCATGTGCCAAGCTTGCCGTTTGCTTGCTACTGCTACTGCAGTATGTATTTAGTTTAATATGCACTCTTGGTGCACAGAACAGCCAGGATGAAATCATGGCTTTTAAGTCATTATTGTGACAAAATAGATCACATTTATGAAAGGTACAGTATTTTTATTGCATAGGTACATGAAGCTTTTGTTTGGATTCTATTTTTTTCTTTTTTTCAAACTTCAAGCTGGCATTGGTACATTTGTATAGGAGTCCATGCAGTAATAGAAACCTATTTTTATTTTGGTTTGAATTTTTATTTTGTTTTATTTTCTTATTGTTTTCATTTCAATCTATGTTTCTTGCTCCCAATGTTGTGAATATCGTTTGTAATCTTTATTTGTTGGAAGCCAATCATTTTGAGGTACGTGTGCTCTTCTATCAATTCCTCAATGCAGTTAAGAACATCGTTCTGAATCATGTTACCAATTCCAGTAAGATTCTTTGCCTCAATCACTGCACTAGATAAGTCTAAGACAAGCTTGGAGGTAAAGACATTTTAGTGTTAAGTCATGGTACTTATGTGGCAAACATGTGGTACCTTAAGTGGTGAAATATAAGTAAAATGCTCTTTAATTCAAAATAGTTGTAAACTGGTAGTTGAAAGTAAGTGCAGTATTTAGCAATGCAGAACGTACGTACGGCCCACAACTGTTGAGGGTCTGATCACATTGTTGCTATGTACTGGTCGTTAACTTATGTTTGTCAAAGATGTCATATGTAACGTGTTTTTCTGTTGTCAACTGTGTTTCTGTATAAAAGGCACAACTTTTGTACCTCTTACTTTGTACATCTGTATATAAGGAATAAAACGAACCGATACATTGAAAGTGTGAGTCACATCTCCTGTTTTGATTGCAATATAGCCAAGTTAGGTTTACATTTACTCAGTCCTGAATATTGTCAGACTCTGAATTTCTTTAAGAGATATTACTCATAACAACCAACAAAGTTCAACCAAGTTCTTAAAATCTAGAACTGATACATTGAAAGTGTGAGTGACAGTTCCTTTTTTGATTGCAGCATAGCCAAGTTAGATTTACCTGTAGTCAGTCCTGAACATTTTTTAAGACATGATGATGACAGAATCGGGCAGCTAAGAAAACGTTATGATTTAGCCTCCCAACATCTGCTTGGAGTTGGACACTTGTACTCGTCTCTAGATCTGTTCATTAAATAAATAGTAGATGACTTGTGAGAGGCCCAGAAGACCATTGTCAGGACAACAAGCTGAGCATCTCCTGACAGTCCCTGGGTACATAGTTGATAGGTGTTTTCCCCCTCTTGTCTTGAACATTTCTGGTGTCAGGGGCAGCTTGTAGTAAGAGTCTTGAGACTTGGACATGGCCCCTCTCTGCAGACTGAAAAAGAAACAACATTTGAAACCCTCAAATTTACAACTCTTTATACACAACTCTGTAAACATGAGTCTCAAGATTCAGGAGAGGTTAACAGAATTGGGCTAATATTGTGTAATAAAGCTGTTACCCGTATTATTCATCAGAAGTGAAACACTGATAATTATTCCTCTATAATTCTCTTTCCTCTAGAGAGGAAGGATTCTAAGGAAATACACATGTACATTAAAGGCATCCAATGAGATTTCATGGTGGCAAAACAAGATTAACGTTAAATGTACAAATTGACTTTGAAAATTTTACAAAGTCAATTTTCTGGCCCTTCTTGCCAATCTGGACACAGCATACTGATATCTGTGAGGCAAAAATGCAATGCCACTGACGAAAAAAAACAGTTGCTTGTTTTGTATTGTAGACTGGTTCTTATATGGCATATATGGGTGGTACCCAAAAATAAAGAGATGATTCATGTAGCTTGTTTGGGGACTTTCAAGTATGAAATGGTGATGAAAATGTGCTACGAAATGGCAGTAAATGTCAATATCTGACAGAATTCCTCATCCAGAATATTTTCTGCTTTGCTGCCCTCAAATCGCAGTGGATAAGTTTTTGACTTAACTTTGACGGAAAGGAAGACAATACATGTGTAAAACACCTGTAACAGTGGGGGGGTTTATACATGTAGGTGCTTCCAAATAACCCGGCCGATGGGTCTAGACCTTTTAGCCGAGTGGTTTGAGCATCGGATTTTCAAGCTGGTGCTCGGGAGGTCGTGGGTTCGAACCCCGACCCGGGACCAGAGGTTTTTATGTGTTCTTACTGCTTGCCCCTGTTTCTTACACACCTTGTGAAGTGCATTTTTCCCATCCTCATCACACAGGGATGGGTCTGCTCTTTTCTTTAGCAACAACTTGACAACAGCTTCATGCCCACAGTAGGCTGCTCTGTGAAGTGGAGTTACTCCCCCCGACCGGGTCTGGCTGTTAGGGTTTGCCCCCCTCTGGAGCAGAAGGTCACACACCTCCAGGTGACCATTTCTGGATGCATAGTGCTGAAAAAGGAAAGCAAAAAGACAAATTACAGTAACGTTATACACATACCCACAGTGAAATAATTTAAAGTTTTACCACTGTTAACAGTTAACATGTTATGTACTGTAAGACTGCGTTTAAAAGATCCTCAACAAAAGTGAACTGGTAAGTCATTAAACCATATAGTTGCTGCTGTTATTAACGGTAATACCACGGCCAAGTATAAAGTAGAAAGTAGTGGCACAACACATTACGCAACACAACCATGTACATGTATCACACACACTATGTATCACGAACGACCCCTAGCGGCCATCAGCAATCTGCAAACCCTAACTACCCACGTATCATGCACGCCGCCTAGCGGGTGATATTTGCACTGCAGCATACAAACAACTCACTGTTCACTTGTACGAAATTATGCATGATCACGAATCACGACCGAAAACACAGAAACCCTGCAGAGGCACATTGAGTATGACTTGACTATGAACAAACCAGCGGCCCGCACCAGTGCCGTGTAACCGGACGAGTCCTGCGCGTTGGCCGCCGTGCCTCTGTCCAGCAGGCTGCGGACCCTCCCCGCCTCGCCGTCCCGAGCAGCGGCCCAGATCCCCCGCTCAAAGTCCAGCTCATCCAGCGTCTGATGCACCGAGGCCGCCGTCGTCGTGTGCGAACACTCGTGATCCCCGTGATCACACATCATGGATCAACTCATGGAGATTAACATTTAGAAACTGCCTGAACATCTGACAGATGATCGAAAAAAAATCTGACATGTACTTAGCTGTTCAAAATCATACTTTTCCATGCACGTACAAAGTAGTGAAATAATCATCATGTATAAACAAAAATATCACTGTTGCAACAAATATATCAATCATTTTAGATCACTAACATTGGTAGATAGCTGGTAAGTTTGTTTTGGGATTGAAATTTGTGCTGAGAATCGAGGCAAAGTTACTAGGCACTAAAACTTATTCCACGGGGCACCCCAATAATAATATGCACATGGTGAAAAATGGCGGGTGTCGTTGATTTTAGAAACTACGCTGATGTCGTAGTTTTTGCCATTTTAGCCACGATCGTGATCGCGTACATGAGTTATGTGTACTCTCTCTGGTAGTAGGAGACCCAGGCTGTAGTAGACGACCCGGTAATCAACTTGATTATCGTATACTTTGTACGTTACGTTAGATTTATTGCAACCCAAATTTTTAGATGCCCCCCTCCCTCTAGAGTGGCTGTCATTTCAAAGTTTCAAGAATTTTTGGTTGTGTTAGATACAGAATCATGTCGACCCAGGACGAAGAGACGTGAGTATGATTGTATAATTATGATCTTCTGAATTGACTAGTAGTTTCTACAAAATAGTTGCTATAAAAGTTAAAACTTTACTGTGTATTATATATAGTTCCATGCTCAAAAACTCAAAGTGACTATTTTAACTCTTCAACTCTCATTCCCTCTTCATGATCTTCAGATGGGATGATGATGAGAACACCATCAAGTTCCTGGTTGGTAAGTTGTTGATTTTTTCTGTTAGGAGAAATCAGCTGGTTTGATTTTACATAATTTGCAATTGTACAATAGTATCTCTAATTCAACATACAACTTAGATTTTCTAGATTTACTGTGTCACTTTGAGAATTTGCACAACTTGCAAATGGATTAGTCTTCCTCCCCCATGCATACCCCATGACTAGGCTCTATGTATCCCTTATTAATACCTGTCTCCTCACCTGTGTCTTCCCAGCCTCCGATGTTCACCTGGGCTATGCTGAGAAGGATGCTAAGAGGGGCCACGATTCCTTGGTCGCCTTTGAAGAAGTCTTACAGATAGCCAAGAAGGAGGAGGTAGCTATGTCTTATGCACCACTCAGAAATTAGGAAGTGTGGATCATACAGAAAACTCTTCAGAAACCATCGCCATTATTTCTTTTATAACTTCATAGGTGTTGAGTTGGTAACAGTCAATAAACAATCCACATTCACCTATATGTACGTGAATGTATAAACCCAGTACATGGACAGGTGTAGGTTAGGTGCTGGTAGACGTCAGAAATACCTGCACAGCTCCAACATTACCTGCACTAACCTGCATATACCCAGTACATGGACCAGTGCAGGTTATAACAGGTAGACATCAGAAATACCTGCACAGCTCCAATTCAACCTGCACTAACCTGCATATACCCAGTACATGGTCCAGTGCAGGTTAGGTGCTGGTAGACGTCAGAAATACCTGCACAGCTCCAATATTACCTGCACTAACCTGCATATACCCAGTACATGGACCAGTGCAGGTTATAACAGGTAGACATCAGAAATACCTGCACAGCTTCAATTCAACCTGCACTAACCTGCATATACCCAGTACATGGACCAGTGCAGGTTAGGTACAGGTTCAGGACCAGTGCAGGTTAGGTATAGGTACAGGTAGACATCAGAAATACCTGCATAGCTCCAATTTTACCTGTACTAACCTGCATATACCCAGTACATGGACCAGTGCAGGTTAGGTACAGGTAGACATCAGAAATACCTGCACAGCTCCAATTTTACTTGCACTAACCTGCATATACCCAGTACGTGAACCAGTGCAGGTGGACATCAGAAATACCTGCACAGCTCCAATTTTACCTGTAGTAACCTGCATAGTGTGTTACGCCAAAGGGCGGTTATACTGATACAGATATAGATATACCCAGTACCATGGACCAGTGCAGGTGAGGTGCAGGTAGACCCCAAAATTCCCGCACAGCTCCAATTCAACCTGCACTAACCTGCATATACAGGTGGTATTTCCAGCCCTGTTGGCCCTTCATAAACAGAAGGCACGTTTCCCCCTGCAGGTGGACTTCCTGCTGCTAGGTGGCGACCTGTTCCACGAGAACAAGCCGTCGCGTAAGATCCTGCACGGCTGCATGTGTCTCCTCAGGCAGTACTGTATGGGAGACCGGCCGTGCCAGCTGGAGTTCCTCAGCGACCAGTCTGTCAACTTTGGCCATAGCAAGTAGGTGATAGGTCAGAGGTGAAAGGTTAGAGGTCAAGGTCAAGTCACAAGCAAAATCTCCTTTTGTATTGCATGAAATTTTTTAGGTTGGGTGCATCAGTGCACCTATTCTCAAAAATGAATTTCGAGCCCTGTTAAGCCACTTAAGCTCCTTAAGCAAGAAAAAAATGTTTAGAATGAATTGAACAGGAAAGGGGACAACACCCATTGTTTCTGATGTTCTGCCACAGGTTTCCGTTTGTGAACTATGAGGACCCAAACCTGAACGTCTCCCTCCCTGTCTTCTCCATCCACGGTAACCATGACGACCCAGCTGGGGTAAGTACAGTTTTAATCCAATCATCCAATAAACAACCAGGTGTTGTGGCATTGTCAGATAGACACTATACACAAGTCTTTTTCTGAAAGTTTGGATAGATACTGACTGGAACTTCCGAAAATAGTTTCATCAGGTTGGTAAAGTATACATGTAGGATATAAGGGTTTTCTTTTACACAACTAAATATTCATGCCTTGCTGACATTTCAGTGTCTATCAGACACCTTCCGCAGAGACTGAAGTTGGGGATTGTGTTCTCACCGCAAAAGCGCCACCTACATCGGCTACATTTAGCGGTGAGAAGCAGAGCTGAAGAAGGTGTCTGATAGACACCAAAACATCAGCAAGGTACAAATATTTGGTTGTGTAGGAGAAAACCCTTATATCCTACTGACTGGAACTCTTCTTTCTTTAGTCCGGGAACCTGTGTGCGTTGGACATCCTAAGTGCCGCTGGGCTGGTCAACCATTTTGGTCAGCACCCCAGTCTAGACCAGATCGAGATGACTCCCATGCTGCTGCAGAAGGGGAGGACGAAACTGGCGCTGTACGGGCTGGGGTCCGTCCGCGACGAGCGTCTGCACCGGATGTTCGTCAGGAAGTCCGTCACGATGCTGCGACCGCGGGAAAACCAGGACGAGTGGGTCAACATCCTGACCTTTCACCAGAACAGGTCAGGGGTCACGGTTGTGTCCATGTCTCGAGATTATATTTAGGCCAATGAAAAAACTGTTGTGTTTCCAGTTTCAGCCCTGAAAAAATTAGGGTCGGTAGGTAGGGATTATCTTTTTTTTTCTTAGACTTTGGCAATCTCTAGTGATCAAACTTATACAATACAGTTTAAGAAAGTAAAACTTGCATGAGGACACTTTATTTTCAATGTCAATGTTGGAAAACCGATTGTACAAATTACTACAATGTTTCATCACTTAGGTGTCAGATCATGGAGCTAGAAAAGGTTGATCAGCTCGAAAAATTTATGTACCTTGCAGTGGTCCACGTGCACCCCAAAAAGGGTCGGCAGGTTTTTCTAGGGTCGTTCGGGAAACAGAAAACACAACATTTTTTTCCTAGGCCTCACTGTCACGGGTTACATTTTGTATCTGTCCTCTTCATGCTCATTTCTCTCATTACTAGTAAGTTTCACTTCTAAGCTTTGTCAATCTGGGCATTTTCTTCCTCACTTTTGAATGGACTGATATGTTATCAAATGCTATTAACTATGAAAAGTATGATAACTTGGCTATATGATATACTAACCTCTTATGTTAATTCTTTTCCTTTCATCTTTTATTGATAATCATGTCTGTCTCTCTCAAATGTTGAAACCTTGTTTCCTATGCCACAAGGAAGCCATCATCAAGGTTTGTAACTAAGATTATCCAAGATTTATTTATATTTTCATGAACTTTATGATAAGCTATAAGTTTAATGGCTTGCAATAAAGAGATGTTTTGCTGGAATATCATTTTGCCCTACTTCTAAGGTACTCCCTGTGAAAAGAAGTACATGTACAACTGTATGGCGCAGTATTAAATATTTTCTATTACAGTCAGTCTCGATTCCCTGTAATGCTATGAACTACATGTTGTTGATGGCACATTATGTAATTAAAGGTACTGAAAGGATCATTAAGTGACACAGATGATTCCTGGTTTTACTGTACTTTTCAAACCAACTACAGTGGGCAAGTTGAAAATATGACAATAGGAAATAGCAGACCAAGTAGCAACGGAATGTATTGAAATTCCATTGTACTATTTTGCTCCAGAGTGAAGCATGGTGAGAAGAACTACATCCCTGAACAGTTCCTGGACAGTTTTCTGGACCTGGTGGTGTGGGGGCACGAGCACGATGCCCGTGGTCTGGAGAGGAACGACGTCCAGGACTTTATCGTGCTCCAGCCGGGAAGCACTGTCGCCACATCACTGGCCGAGGGCGAGACGTTACCCAAGTATGTCAGATACGTATGGCTCGAACACAAGATGCAACAGCTCATTTTTTAGAAAGCTTTAAGGTGAAACGTATTGCAAGTATTGTGATAGTGACCAGCTCTGCATAAGAACCACCTGACAATTATGGACAATTATGGACAAGGGATGTCTATTCTTGACATTGAAAGAAAATCTTTGTTGTAGTATCTTTCTTTAGAAATGAAACAAATTAGTTTTTGCTAACATTTTACTTATTTCATTTTATATGGTACACCCATGGTACACCCAAAAACGTTTTTGTGCACCCAATTTTTTAGGTTGGGTGCACCTATTCCCAAAAATGAATTTCGAGCCCTGTGCTCTCACCCCCTCAGAAAAGCGTTCCTGGTGCGAGTGAAGCCCTCCAGGAAGATGAAGTTTGAAGCGATCCCGCTACAGACGGTGCGCCAGTTCTACCTGAAGGACATTGTGCTCGCCGACACGACCCTTGACCCCAACGACCCTGACGCAGCAGACAAGATAGCAGCATTCTGCCAGGAAAAGGTTTGATGTTCCAGAAAAGTCTTTCTCAGCACTGTATGTCAGTAGTCTATTGCATTCGACTTCTGTATTATCGGTAATGCTGTGATGAATGAGTAGGCACTGAGCAGAATGAAAAGCAATTTGGAGTTGAATGTACATAAAAAGAATATCTTATTTATTAATGAAAACTTAACTCAAATGAACTTTGGAGCAGTATACATGAAATTGTAACAGTATCTCACAGTTGGACAAAACATATGTATGACAAGCACTTGTCTCACTGGTTTCATTGTTGTCTTTGTAGTTTGTACTGAATGGTATTGGCCAAATTTTTTATTATACTTGTGCTATCAACTGGGAAGTATTGAGCTACGAAATATGAAATCTATTAATATGAATTCCAGGTGGAAGAATTGCTGTGTAGAGCAGAAGAAGAGCACACAGGGAACAAAAGACAACCTAAAGAACCACTCATCAGACTAAAGGTAGGGAAAACATGTAGTGGAGAAAGGTTTTTCTATTTCAAATACATACGTATGCATATATTCTTTTTTGTCCTCTAACCACTCAATGATGAGTTTGATATAGTTGTTGTAAAACATCTGTGAATAGTTTCATCAGGTTGGTATGATGAGTAGATACTGGCAATCTCTCAGGTTGTGTGAGCTCAGAATTCTGCATAATATGTTTTTTAATGTTTCTCCTACCAGATTGAGTACAGCGGAGGGTTCCCGATGTTCAACACGAACAGATTTGGTCAGATGTTCACCGACAGAGTCGCCAACCCCCGCGAAATCATCCACTTCTACAGGAAGAAGGTTTATGAGAAGAAAAGTGAGCATTCCTGAATCCTATACCATTGCTTGTCATACTGGTTGCATATGCACTTTTGTGCACCCAGAATTGAAGCCATGCAGTGCTCCTAATCTTTTCACCTAATTTTTGACTGTAGGTGCACTAATACATGTGTCACTTCCTTCCGTGCATCTGAATATTTGGTTAGACTATCCATACGTGAAAGGCATCACATTGGACAACCAAGTGTACGTTTCGATGACCTTAAGGGCAATTATGACTTCTTCACATTACATAGCACAGCACAGCACTCTAAGAAGGGGATGGGGAAGACTGTGGAAGAGTTTTTAGAAGTTCGTTTTCCTCTGTGTTTCAACCTTTCTGGTTGTTTGTTTGGGATTTTACAGGTGGTACGAAAGAGAAGTGGGAAGATGAGGACATGTCTACACTGCTTCCACGGGAGGCTCTGGACATGTCACGGGTGGAGGATCTGGTCAAACAGTTCTTCGCAGAGGCTGAACAGGTCAGTTTCATGATTGAAACTAGAAAGGTAACAATTGCAAAGCAAATGCATAATGTTTACTTTCATATGGCCCAGCTCTGCTCTGTTAATTCTTTCTCAAACACATACATATATCTGGTCAGACAGAAGTCTAAATCCCTCCTGCTATAAAATCGCAACATGATGTAACCCAACACTAGTTATCATGGTGACAGACATCTAGCACAGAATGAAATGTGAAAGACTATGGAAGAGTTTTAGATGTTCTTGTTCCTGGGATCGGGGAGGCCATGGAAGAGTTTTTAGAAGTTGTTTTTCCTCTGTGTCTCTGCACAGAATGCATGCACGTCATTCTTGAAGAGAATAGGGGAACACGTGGTAGAGTTTTTAAAAGTTCTTATTCCTCTGTTTTTCTGCACAGAATGCATGCATGTTGCTGTTGACAGAGAAAGGGATAGAGGAGGCCATGGAAGAGTTTTTAGAAGTTGTTTTTCCTCTATGTCTCTGCACAGAATGCACGCATGTCGCTGTTGACAGAGAAAGGGATGGGGGAGGCTATAGAAGAGTTTTTAGAAGTTGTTTTTCCTCTGTGTCTGTGCACAGCATGCGTGCACGTCACTCTTGAAGAGAATAGGGGAACACATGGTAGAGTTTTTAGAAGTTGTTTTTCCTCTATTTTTCTGCACAGAATGCATGCATGTCGCTGTTGACAGAGAAGGGGATAGAGGAGGCTATGGTAGAGTTTTTAAAAGTTCTTGTTCCTGTGTATTTCTGTACAGAATGCACGCATGTCCCTGTTGACAGAGAAGGGGATGGGGGAGGCCATGAAGGAGTTTGTGGACAAAGAGGAGAAGGACTCCATCCAGGAGCTGGTGAGATGGCAGGTGGAGAAGATGCAGAAACACCTGCGGGACAGGAAGGCAGGAGAGGACAAGATTGAGGAGGAGGTGAGGATTTTTGTCACCTCTGTGTACAGAGGTTTTGTGTTTGGTGTGTCTATGTTTTTTTGTAGTTGTTTCCACATGCTGAGCCTCCGTATTGCAGTGTAAGCACATCTAACCCTAGGAAGATGGGGGAACAACAGACTATAAACCGGGTAGTGAGTGAGTGAGTATGTTGAGCACATCGAGGAGAATGATAGGAAGTTATATCAAAGGACCCAGAAATGTCTCAGAAATGGTTATCTCACTTCCTGTCTTTAATTTCCTGTTATATGCATACCTGTTGTGGCAGCCAGTGGTAAAATGCATAGACAGGATCAGTGAAAAATTCACAACAACTATAATTACAGAGATATGAGATCTTCGATTTCTTGTTGTTTCTTCGATATTTTGTCAGGAGAAAGGTAACATGGTTTTGGTAGGGTAGGTAACTTTAATATACTCTGAATACTTCACACCTTTGATGTCTTGTACATGTATTTCTATATTTATTTATTTATTTATTTCGGCTTACAAAGAAGCCCGGGTGTCCCAACTAGTCAAAGACTATTACTAAGGGACACCCTGGGGGAAAAGATGAAAATCGTTATACATGCATGGGAATACATATTACAAATTACATACATGTACATTGTATTTCTACAGATCCACCAGTTCCGTCAGGCGTACCAGCAGCACGCAGAAGAGGAGGATGAAGACATCCAGCGCGCTCTGGAGCGGTCTCGTTCCAAACGTCCAGCCGACGACAATCGCTCAGACATCATGGAGGATGACGACAGCAACCTTAGCGACGAGGATCGCCCTGCGCCGACCCGTGGGCGTGGCAGGGGGCGTGGCAGAGGGCGGGGCAGGGGAGCGACCGCTACGACCAGGGGAGCGACCACTGCGTCTCGGGGGAGGGGTAGCAGAGGGGGCCGAGGAGGGAGAGGGAAGAAAAGTCTGGTCGCCAGTGGTTCTATTGTTGAAGGTAGAGAGTAATATCCTAGTATCACAGATTATACACAGACTTGCCTTGTTTGCCAAGACTTGAACCATTTTCTAAATAGCTTTGTCATCACACATTCTGTTATACTGTACAATTCATTTCTTGAATGATAAAGCATAAAATAGATTTTCTGACACTTTATTATTAGACAGCTCAACATAGTTTTTTTTCATGTTTTGAAAGTTATAGTTATCCCATATTTTGAAATTTATTGTCTGCATCTTAATCTTTTTAAGAAAGATGAACTTCTTATTTTTGTTATTCACCTTGTATTTTTCAGCAATGCAAAACAGTTCATCTAGATCTTCCCAGAGATCCTCAGCTAAGCCTAGTAGACCTTCATATATGGAGGTAGGTGTTTTTTTTTATTTCTGGATAGTAAACTGCTTGTCCAGTCAACTGTTCATATATTGTATTAAGCTAACCTAAATGTGCCAAGAAACAACATGAAATAAAGAATGTCATCAAAATCTAATATCAAACTTGAATCTTCAAATCTATTGGTAACTTCAAAATCTTTAACAAATAATACAAAGTTTTTTATGTTGAACACTTGAATTCTTTACACCAATATGCAGCATATCCTTAACATTCAAGTTGAATGTTAAGGATATGCTGCATATTGGTGTAAAGTAGTACCTTTATGTTTGTAACAGTACACAAATATCTAGGTGCACCAGTCAAAACGTAGGTGCCCAGCTCCAAGTTTGGGTGCATATGCATCCTGTATTTCGGACCCTGATACATTGTACATGTAGAAGCATATGCTTTGTTGTGACATGGCTGCCATGTCTAATACTTTGTAATCTGTTTGTTCCAGATGTCAGATAGTGAGGAAGAAGACAGCGATGGAGGATTTAATGCTCCCTTATCTTCAAAAAGCAAAGGGTAAAAGTTGTTCAACTTGTTCTTCAAATTTTATCCATCACTTGATTTTGTAGTCCCAGCAAACAAGGTTGTCTGATGTTAGAAATCATTGGCATGTGTTGTATGGACAAAGTATTTTTTTCTGTCCAGGAATTCCAAGCCCAGAGGTGGTGCCTTGCAGAGGAGGGGAAGAGGGATTGCCTATGATTCTGAGGTACACTTTAAAGCTTATTTGTGAAATTTGTTAATTTGATGGTTAAGCTTTGATACATTCATCTGTAATATTGTGGGCGCAATGGTAACAGCTTTTAGAGAGATGTCTTCACCAACTGGTATCATCCTTAGAATTTAAATAAATTGAAGATTCTACCATAATGTTGGGTTTGAGCAACATCAACCCATTTGGCTGTATATTGTCAAAATTTGACAATTTCCAGCCTTTTTGTTCATATTGTTTTATTTTTGAATTGTATCAAGGAAGTGATGTTTTGGTATTGCATTTAAAAGTCTAACTTGTCCTTGTGTTTGCCCTTTGCAGGACTCAGAGGAGGACTACTTTACCATGCCAAGTGCAAAGAAGTCACGTCGCTAATTTACTGAACAACTTAAGCTGATAACCTTGCAGTGTAGAAGTGATGTTAGTTACGGGTAAAGAGATCTGTCTGTGATCTTCAAGTAGCTCAAATGGCACATAAGAATTAAAAGAATAACAGTTTGTTATTGGTATGGAAAGGAGTTACAAGGAAATACTTGTAAACGACTGATTTTATATGTGAACACTTAACCTTTATACGAATCATTTGTATGTAACCATACATGTTCCTTCTCATTGGAAACAGACATGCTTCTGTTTGTATTAACTATGCTACAAAATGTCATTAACAAGGTTAGATTTCATTATATTGATCTCTGAACAACTGCCTGGGGTCAGTTTCTTCTATAAGTAATATTGATACTATAATGATAGCATTTACGTGTGGAGTGTGTTTTCGTGTGCATGCAAGTGTGCAAATGGCATTTGTGGCATGTTGAACTACAAGATGCACTGATGCTTGTCCATAATTGATCTTTATTGAACAAAATAAGTCCTGAATTGCACAATCGAATCCTTGCAATATAATATATGTACATCCATTCCCTAATACAACGTTAAAAATCATCTCTGGAAGCTTAAATAATTTCTCCTTTTTGCAAAGATTCAAATGTCAAGTGTAGTGTTCTGATGTTTTGGGCCTGTCAGAAAACAGAACAAATGTGATTCCCAGCATTGCTGATTAACTTATACAACTTGTGACCAAATCATACTTTACCCCCAATTGAAATTCATGATGAAAATGCAAAAGAGAATTCTGACAAAACCAGTGAAAATTTGATGCACAAACTTAAGTGTACCTGTATTTTTACCTGGGAGAAGTACTGCATACTGCAACATTTGAGTCACCTTAGTGACTACAATTAAAGATACAATATGTTATTTAATGGCTATATTCATACAAATATGATATCCCTGTATCAAAACATTTGCAGACATAGTGTATAGATAGTAACTAACACTGTCAGTCCATTTACATGGCCTGCCTGGTTCTATATTAGGCCTAGGAAAAAAATGTTGTGTTTCCTGTTTCAGTCCTGAAAAAATTAGGGTCGGTAGGTAGGGAATATCTTTTTTATTTCTTTTTCTTTTTTTTAGACTTTGGCAATCTCTATGAAAGTAGAACTTGCATGAGGACACTTCTATTTTCAATATCAATGTTGGAAAAGCGATTGTACAACGTTTCATCACTCAGGAGTCAGCTCAAAAAATTTAAGGTTGATCAGCTCGAAAAATTTATGTCCCTTGCAGGGATCCACAAAAAAAGGCTAGGGATAACAGTTTTTTCTAGGGTTGGTCGGGAAACAGGAAACAGTTTTTTCTAGGGTTGGTCGGGAAACAGGAAACACAACCTTTTTTTCTTAGGCCATACTTAGTCTTTGGAATAGACGTTATTAAGTCAAAAACACTGATCCGTCTCAAGGAGCGTATGCAGGAGGTGGAGCCTGCTGTCGCTCCATCATGGCTGCGTATTCCACTCCCCGCCAGAAATCTAGTTCATCGTTATCCATCAGCATCAGTCCGTCTGATTGGTCGTCGTCTTCCGGAGGGTATCTGCGCAGGAGTCCGCACGCCACCGCCAGGACGGCCGCGCTGCCCGCGCCGGCCACCAGGTAGTACCCAACATCGAACGTGACGTACACCTTGCTTCCCGTGTAGATGCGGTGGCTGTGCTGGAGCGCGTACATCATGGTGGAGGCCCAGTAACACAAACCGTTCGCCGTCACGCACAGCAGAACGGTCAGGATGTTCGCCACTCCGTTACGTCTGAGAATCCTCCAGGACTTCCTCATCGAGCCCAGGATGTCTATTATGAAGGCAGCGATGCTGGTAACCATGGCAACCAGGCAGAGCGTGAAGACGACCCGGAGTATGAGAACGGCGTGCGCGGTGACGCAGTAGGCGTCCAGTAGAGGCTGGACGGTGCTGTCTCTGAGGAACAGGTTGATGCCGATGTACTCGTTGGTGTGTTGGCACTTCCCGCCATGGACGTGGAACCACCGGGGCTCCGCCAGGGCGGTGCTGAGAGCAGCGATGACGACGACGCTGAAGGCTGCACCGGCCACGTTCCGCTCGCGGCGTTTGGGCCGCCGCCATCGCCGACGGACTGCCGCGACCGCCGGGGAGACAGCGGGAGGATCAGACGGCGTGGAGGGAGCGGGAGAGGCTGCTTCTGGAGTCGACATGGCTTCTTCTTATGGCATCATCTATGAACTAGAAGTATAGAAATGTTGACTGCAGGTAAGCTGAACGAAGGACAACCAAGGTGCTTTCATCACAAGATTGAAAGCTACTTGGGACAATATATCTATGTATCTTTGAAGGGAATAATACCAAGGAAGTCAGAATTCCATAAGTTAACGGTACAAACTATCGAAGGTTATTTTTTATAGGGCAAAGGTGACTACCCGGTTACACAACACAAAACCTGGTCAAAACAAAACAAATCTCTGACGTCTCCAAGAATCTGCGACTTTAATTACACAAAACTACAAGGTATTTTCACCCTGGACGACGGCAACACATACAAGAAGAACTAAGCTTGTGGAAACTATAGTCAAACTGATGTAACTATTTTAGGAATTTAGTAAAATAAACTTTTACCTACCAGCGTCAAACATGGACGTCCGAAATTTCGATTTGTCATTTCCTACACAGCATCGAAACAACATTTTCAAACAACTACGTATTACGTAATAAAAAATTATCCTTAGCTATAAAAATAAGTATCAATTGTACTAGATTAAGATGAAATGTATTGTGACAAAATATACTATGATTATTGCGTTATAAGTTTTTGCAGATATGTTTTTGTGCGGTTTGGTGCGCTGATGCCCCTTGACCTCCTTCGCTATGCCTGCTGGGATTTTGGCGCGATCATGGCCGACCCTGGAAAATTGAGAGGGATGGACGCGCTCATCGAGCAGTTTCGCGCCATTGCAGGTAAAAATCCGCGGTTAAAAATCGTTCTACTGAGAGACGAATAAGGGTAGGGTGTGGTGACCGTTTGCACGAGATTTGAGTGTGGTTAGAAACTGTTTTATCCACCAAAGTAGGCTGGGTCCAAAATAGACGCCCACGGTAATCTGTTGTCAACACTGTATAGGTACCGCTCTGCAGCTGGTTTGCAGTTTTAGCCTGTGGAAAGCTGTTATAAATGGTGTTTGATCACGCCATCAAACTGCTTGAAGCCGCCAGCCGTGTTTCAATCAAGATTATCAATTCTCTCTCAAACCGACTTTAAAAGGAAATTTCGACCTCCTTAGTCGAGACCACAAAATTATGACTGACTTTCTTAATCTTTTTTCATGTTGACTTGCAAATTATTTTTGATTCTGTCAATCTTAAGCAAAATTTATTTGTTTATTCAGGTAGCAGGTAGAGGTATTCCATAGGTAATTTTGCAACTAGAGGCTCCATAGCTCTATTTTTAGTGTCAAGGAAAACTATGCCTAGACAAATCCAAGCCGTTTTCTATGAAGCAGTCACAAAACTGTATTTACAGAACTGTATAAACCGCAAATACTGTGTGAAAACCTCTTTTCATTCCCTTCATGCAAGAAAATGAATTAACAGTAGTACAATAAAAAATCAACCAATTAATCAGTCAACCAACATATCAGTCAATATATCTATCCGTCTATCTATCTAAGTATCAATCTATTGATTTCCTTCATTCAGATATACTATATATAGACTAATAAAGATATAAAAAATGACAGGCATAAAAAATGATGATCAATAGAAGTAGGAGCAATTAAAGATATAGCCCAGAGCTGGCCTGATTTAAAAATTAAAAATGCCAAGATGTGTGTGAGTCTGGGAAATCGAATACACATAGTATACAAATCATAATACACATAGTAAACTGATTATTACTGATCCAAAACAAACACCCCTTTGTTAAATGGTAGATACCACAGAGGATGTGGCACGCCACATGCTGGAGGCCTGTGGAGGCAACCTGGAGATGGCCATTACCATGCACCTAGAGGGGGGAGCAGGTTCAGCCGGAGGGGCTGGTCCCTCCAGCACACCAGGGGCAGTGCCAGATGGAGCAGGACCATCTATAGCAGAGTAAGTGTCGAAGCCTATGATTCAAGAACTGTAGAACTCAGAATGAATATAGGTAACTACCTACTACTCCCTGGAATAATATATCTGATAATCAGCTTCAAAGGAATGTAGCAGTGACTGGTTTCTAGTACACAGCGTAAAATAACCGTTTTTTTTTTGTTATGGGTAGTTACGGCTGTAGGGTTACGAACAGGGCGTAGTGACCCTAAAACAATATAATGCAAATTACAAAACTTGGCAACCACTGCCCCTTCACACCAGGAGTGCCCCTCCCCACCTTGTCAGAGCTGACTAAAGTTGACCCCAAACTGGAAGAAATAGAAGATAGTAACCAATACAAGAACCAGTAATAGTTGCAGGTAGACGTCAGAAGTACCTGATCTCCAATTTCACTTGAACTCATATACATGTATATACTACTAGGTGAATTTTGAGCCCTGTACTTGTGTATTACATGTATGTCCAAGTCTTTCATTCGTAACTTCACAACAAGGGATATTCTTTCATATGCCAAAGGTTTACCTGCGACTGAAGTTTTTTTAACTGAATTTTCTGTCAAACAGTGATGCAGTGCGAGCCCCAATTCCACAGACCGCAGGTGTACTGGTAGAGGAGTCTCTGTACCAGAGTTATGGTAAACAAAAATATTTTTTCACTCATATCTGTACACAATAATGGTAGTCAGATTATGCAGTATGTTGTGAAGTTGATTGATGGAGTTGGTTTAAAACAACTTTTTAAAAAGGTACTGTCTACAAGTGCTGCAAAGTAATTTTTGCTGTGGAAGAAAATTGTGACAGAATCACCATCCTTAAACTTCTCTTAAATTGGTGTAGCAAAAAGTTAAAAAAAAACATAAATGACTTTAAGTACATCACGAAGAAAGTTCTGTTAGTAAGTGATTGTTTTTGTGTTTTCCATAGTGCCACAAGGACGCTTAAGAAAACCAAGGTCTGTGTTTGATGGTTTTCGAGACTTCCAAGCTGAGACAAGTAAGTATGGCTTACTGGCTATATTAGTTTACCTCAAACATTTTCATGTCCCAACAAAATTATAGAAGTGTGATCTAACTTGCATGGAGTCTAAAGAACTAGGTTTACATAAAGAAAACCTGTAATGTTTTTACCCACATCTGCATGGGTGCCACCATCTTGGAGTATGCAAGTCTCCATACAATAATGCTGTAGCTACATGTAGTCATCGTTTTCTAAATCCACTTCACTCCGTAGGGCAACAGGAGCAAGCTTTGCGGGACCGACTGAGTGGGAAGACAACAGCAAAGAAGAGAACCTTAGAAGACCTCTTCAGACCTCCCATCGACCTTTTACACAAAGGCACCTTTGAGACAGTAAGATCTTGTACAATGTACTTTTCTACCATTTTGTAACTATCACTAACATGTAACAAATAAGTTGATTTATATCAGTTGGTTTATAGTGACAATTCATGTTGAGTAAAGAGAGGTTTTTTACACAACCAAGTCTTTTATTCAGCCATCGTTTCAGTGACCGTCTGTCACCTTCCTCAGGGCAATTCTGACTGGTTTACATTGCACTGCAGCACAGGCATTGCTGCTATAGATGCATTCCCAAACATATAATATTTACATATCTACACATATGCGTGGTTACAGGAACTGTATCTACAATGCGGTCCCAAACGTACGGGAGTTGGATAGGTACATAATTGGTCACAGAAACGTTGGTTGAATAGACTTGGTTCTGTAAAAATAGTCTCTTTACTCAGTGATTTACCAACCTGATGAAACTATTCACGAATACATTTCATGTTGCTTTATGATTACAATAAAAGTTGCTAACATGGTTCTGCTGCTGTCTGCAGGCGAAGAAGGAGGGTGAGACTGGGAACAAGTGGCTGCTGGTGAATGTGCAGAACGTGCAGGAGTTTCCCTGTCAGCAGCTCAACAGGGACGTCTGGAGCAACGGGCTGGTCAAGTCTATCGTACAGGAGCACTTCGTGCTGTGGCAGGTCTGTATCTGTATAGTCAGTATAACTGCCCAGTGTACAAAATACTTTTTTGAACCAGGTTGCCCCAGCAAAAATTAGGGTGCCCATCAGAATTTTAGGTTGCCCCATCTATAAGTTACTACTTTCCTCAAATTAAGTTATGTTACATACATAGCTTTGAGAATATTTCTAACAGCCTTTAGTTAACTGATACTAAAGGCTGCCATTAATACCTAAAATTAAAAAGCATCTGCCAGATACAGTGGTGCAAACAAAGTGGGCATGATTTCATACCTACGTTCAAAAATAGGTTGCCCCAAGTAAAATTTGGTTGCCCGAAGCAACTGGGCAACCAGGTATTTTGCACGCTGCTGCCTATCAAGAATCTATCTGTGTTGGTAGTAATCATAGTAAAAAGTTTGATTATATTCCAACACAAGGTTTCACAGGGATCAAATTTTCAATGACCGCTGTTGCCTTCATCAGGATAACTTGATCAATTGCTAACATCACATATCCATAAAGTCTCATGTGAATAAGGTCACGTGTCTGTAACCGTAACTCTTGTGAGATTACATTTTGAAGTGATTCGTCATTCATTATCCTGATGAAGGATACACCGGTCCTTACCAAGTGTTATGCTATCAAAAATTTGGTTTTACGTCAAAAACTTTGTGTTGGCAATAGAATTTCAAAATCCTTCTTCGTGATAACTGTTACCCACATGGATGAACTTTCAATCTAGGATTTATCAATCATAAGCCTCTTAGTTTTTCTTCTTCTATCTGTAAACATATTCACCTAAGACCAACCTTTGAGCTTTGCTGGTTCTTTGCTTTCTGTGAACTGTCCAGTAGAAATTGGTTGCTGTTGTTTCTATTTTTACCATGACCTTGTCATGTCCTGTAGGTTTACCATGACAGCGCAGAGGGCCAGCGGTACATCCAGTTTTACAAGGTCGACACCTTCCCCTATATTGCTGTCCTGGACCCAAGAACAGGTACGGTAAAAGAAATGCTGTCTTTTTTTCTAAAATGAAACTACAAACATAAGTTCTTTGTGATACATCCAAAAGTATTATCTACAGCAGTGGGGAGTAGGAGAAAACATTATTGTCTAGAGGAAGGTAGCAAAACGGACGACTTAAATCTTGGTACTCGACATCTTGGTTCAGTAACTAGACTCTGTATCATACTATAAAAGTTACTATTGCCTACAGTACATGTACTTGCTGCCATTTTTTCACTTTTTTGGTGTCCATGCCATCATGAAAGAGTGATTGTACACCAACATCGACTTTATGTTTGTCTCACATATGAGGTTAATACATTGTTATTTACTATTATTTTCAAGGAGAGAGGCTGGCTGAGTGGAATACTGTTGATCCTACTGCCTTTATCGACATGGGTAAGTTGATTGAATGATCTCTTTATTTCCTAAATTTAACATTAGCCTGCTGCCTGAGTAACAAAATTGATATAATTTTGTGCCAAAATGTAGTTGAAGCAGGGAAAAGTCTTGAAATTTTCTGTTCTTCCTGGTGTGAGTATATTCTGGTTACTTTTCCACAGCTACCACATTCCTGACTGACCATGGTGCATTGGATGGTGAATCTTGCAGCCCACCGAAGAAGAGAACAAAAAGGGTATGTTTGTTTGTTTGTCTGTTACACCCAACCTTTGCACATCTAACTGCGGGCATTGTTTTAAGCTTTCTAGTGATGCCCCAACTGTACTTAGTGGCAACGAGTTCCACTCTACAATAGTTCTTGGAAAAGTTTTTGAATACCTGAATTCTTGGTTGATAACTCTGGTATTTGAAGGCATGACTAATTCGTGTTGTTTTCTGAGCTGGTATTAGATACTTAGTAGTTGGTACTTCCACCAGTTTATTAGATATTTTGTACATCATGCATAATAGTTTGTGTCATTCAAGTAGGGTCATGTGGCGTAACGGCAGAGTGCTTGACCAAGAGGTCCCGGGTTAAAGTCCTGACATACCACCAATCATGTGCCCTTGGGAAAGGCACTTTACACGACTTTCCTCACTTAACACAAGTGAAAATGAGTATTGTTTGTCCTACTATATTTCTTTCTATGTGTGGGACACAACACCAGCAACAGCTGCCTTTGTCCCACATGTATTGTATTGTATTACATTTTCAATATATCAAATCAAATTCTACCAGCAGGAAAGCATTATTGACGCAAGTGAGGACAGCCAATTGGAGGCAGCTATCGCAGCGTCACTACAGGAAACCGAAGCCACATCCGAGAAACCCGTCAACGCGGCGAACGACTCCAGCTCCGAGTCAGAACTGGACATCACCGACGACGAGAGCGAAACATTCCACTCCGTGAACGGGGAGAGTTCCGATAACGACAGCGACGTGGAGGTCGAAAGGATTGTCACCCCCGACCCCAAGGACAGAGTTCAGAGTTCAAATGTCAGAGTGCAGAGTTCGAATGGGCATGCACAGACCTCGAATTCCAGGACAGAGGAATCAGAAAGGACTCAGGCAGAGAACAGTACTGAGGACAGAAGTCAGAATGGAGGTGCAGTGTGTGCTAAAGACTCTACACAGCCATCTGTCACGGTGAATGGGAGCACTGCAGCAGCTGATGATGATGATGACAATGATGGGGGTAAGGCATGCTATCTCTTGTCTAGTAAAATCATAAATGGTACTGCAGATTGCTGTGAGTTAGCACTCACTGTCTGTATAAATAGTTGTTTAACACAATGGCCATCACATAAGAAGTGCGGTCGTGTGGCATAACGGCAGAGCATTCAGCTCAGAACCAAGAGGATCCGGGTTCGAATCCTGCCATGTCACAAACCATTGTACGTGAAAATTCCTCTAGCTTCTTGCCCCCTGGATCAGTGGACCACGGCTTAAATTCTCATACATAGGAACCCTTTTCAGTAGCATGCAAGATGAGTGAGCATCAGCAGCCGGGACTCGAACTCACGACCCTCTGTCCAGAAGCCGGGCTGCTATCCACTAAACCACTCACACCACTTGGATAATCTTTTTATGGCGTCGACTATCTGACCCAAACGAATAATGATTTAGATTTTGTTTAATGCCTTATTTTTGAATATTTGGTTTTGTTTGCCTTCCCACTTTGCTGTTTTGGTAACAAAGTTATGATTTAATTTTTTTTATCCCTTTCAAATTGAAGGGACTAACCAGTGTATTCAAAAGATTGATAGATAAATAAATAGCTAAGTAAAAAGTTGGTATACGATATATGTAATGTTACGAAAGAGGGTATGCTTTTAGTTATGATTACTATCTCATGTACAAACATACCACAGAGGCGCTTGTAGAAGCTCTTTTTCTTCTGCTTTTATTTGTGCGTCTTCTTTATTTTTTTCTTCACCACCTGTCCTTTCCAGGGCCAAAGACGAACTTGATGGTACGCTTTCCCGACGGAAAACGGAAACAGTTCTCCCTCCCAGCATCTGCCAAACTCATGGTAGGACTTTCACATTACAGCTCATTTCCCCATATACTTGTTTTTTTCTTCTCAAGCAATCAGAATCCAAGCTTTGTGTAGAGTACTAATTGAGTGAAAAAAGACAAACAGTTGTGCATAATGTACTTGTATAGCATGACAAGGTTTAGAAAGATCACAGAAGTATTTATCTTAAAGTCACACCCAATAGTGGGGAAATTAGCTGTTAGTCCCCTTTCCCTTTGTTTCTTAAAGATTTGTGTTTTTATAAGAATGTTGAGTGATGATTGTTGGAAAGCTTTTGCACTAACACCACAATTTATTTGAGCTTTTTCCAGGCACAAGAGCAGTACCCACTCTCCTGTGTTCATCAGTGTAGGTGATTGGATGACCTACACTGTATGATGTGTATGATGGTAGTACTACTGTCCAGTAACCTTGCCATGTATGTGTTACACAGACGCTGGTCAAGCTGGTCATGTCAGAAGGGTACACAAACGAGCGTTATGAGCTGGTGACGAATTTCCCGCGCCGGAAGCTCTCGTACATGGACTTCAACGTCACGCTGAAAGAAGCGGGTCTGTTCCCACAGGAGACCATCTTCGTTCAGCAGAGATGACACTGACAAATTTAGCAGGGATAGTTGACGTTGATTGACAGCCGTCAGTTTCCTGTTTTTTTTTCCGTTTTCGGGGCTGATTTTCTCCTGGATAGCAAGAGCCATTAGCAAAGGCAGAATGAATGGTTGCAATGACATTTGACATTTCTGAATCAGTATTTTCCTTATATTCAGCCAGTAATGCACAATATGGCCTGATATTAACAGTTAAACATTTAAATAACAAACATTATGATAATAAGGAACTTTTGAGGTACAGTTGCCCACACACACTGCCATTATAAGCTGAACCATTGCACCACTTCTCATACTTGATGTTACCAGTAGTAATAACAAAAAACATATCCATTCATACATACATAAAAACAGGCTAAAATGTGTATTTGTTGAATAGCAGTACTTCAGGTAGTACTCATAAAGAAATTTTGGAAAAAAATGCAAGAAAAAGTTGCTTGTTCAAGATCTTTGCATCATACTACTGGTACATGTATTTTTTTGCACCTTTACAATTACATGTACAATAGCAGAAACATTGTCTGTAATGTTTCAATGAAAATCTTGTTTTCCATCGTTGTATTTACCAATTTTTCTGAGACAGTCATCATGTCAATCCTGTGGGAAACACCCGTCTTCTGTTTTGATGACCCATGAATATTTATTGCACAGTTGCAGATAGGTTTTGTCTGTTATGGCACTGAGCCAGAATCAGGGACCAAGGAGGTGGAATCAAGCTGGTTTTATCACATAAGTGAAAACAAGAAAGGTAACATTTGCAAAGCAAATGCATAATGTCTACCTTCGCATATGGTCTGCTCTGTTAATTCTTCCTCAAACACATTCATATACTAGTATGTGGTGCAACATGAAAATTTGCAACATGATGTAACCCAACAGCAAAAACAATATGTTTTCCTTCGGTAAACATAACAATGCAGTAAAGAGGAAAGATGTAAGTTTTGGGCACACAAGGTTTTGCTAAGAGACAGAGAAAGGTACTGTAGATCTTGAAATGTTTTGCATTTTCCACTGCCTCTCCACAAGTCACTACTGTACTAGTACAGGATTGTTTCAACTCCAAACTTGAAACATCACAAAAACCTTTTCCCCCTACTTATTGCAAAGTAAAACCATAGTGAAAGCAAGTCTGTCCAACTTCAAGAAATTGTAACCTTTGAATGTGCAAGAATGCTACATTGGATGTCCCTTGAATGTGCAGTTCTTTGTATCATGACAACAGTTTTCAAATTTTTTCTCTCAAGCATTTAAAAAACAGCTTGGATATTGACTTCTACTTTTTTTAAAAGTGAAGAATGTTGTAGAATTGTCTTACGTGTATGTCATTGTCGAATATCATGTTATTCAAGCATTTTATGATAGCAATATAATGACAACATTCATGTACATGTATATCACAAACTCTATACAGAAAATATTTTTGGATCACTTTAAGAAAGACGTATCAAATGAGGCTCCATATGGGGGATTCTAGGTATGTTCTGTGTAATCAGTCAGCATCAAAGTCTTGTGCTGTTGTTAATTATGTGCAACACAGGAGTTTGGATATTGAAATGTAAACTTCAGATACTGATACTGAAAAACCCTTTGTTGGACTCGCAAAAAAGATGCAATGATATGTTACAGGATTTGAAAGAAACCTTGGATTTAGTTGTCATTAGAGCATAACATCAGGTACTGGCACAGAGGTTTAAGTACAGGGAACTCATATGCAGCACTAGTCTAGCAGTACTAAAGTTTGTACAAATGTTATTCTACACAATGTAGTCACCAAATACTACTGTTTCCTAGCATGGGGTCAATTCAGGACACTACAATTTGTAACTTTTTGTAGAAAAACTATTCGTGAAGATAACGAGACAAACGAGATATAGTCTTGTCCAATATCGTTACGGTTATGTTATATTGGTAGGGTACATATGATACTGCTATATATAAACATGTTCATGAACTGATGACTTTGCCAACCAGTAGTCTCATAAATTTTTAATGTACCGGGCCAAAAAGCGTTGTAAAGTTGTGTTGATAGATCTCCACATTCCCAGCGCATGTCAATTTATCGGTAGTCTGTGCATTTAGTGTGCAATATGGGAGCACAGATTAGAGTACAACATGCAGAGATGAGATAAACTTACATACATCATTATTGTTGGCCGACTTCATGTTACTTATACTTGTAGTAATAATAAAAGTATTTTGGCGAAGATGATGCATCAAGATGTAATATTTTTTTTTATTATGAGGACCTTGGAAGTTGGAATGGCAAGATTTACTTCATTTAGGTCCAATTTTCAAATCTAATGGGTCCTTCAGTGTAGGTAAATTTGCCTTCATTTGCACCCATCAGAACTTGGTAGATATCATCAGTATCATTAATTAGACAGTTCACTTCTTGAACTGTCATGTGCAAGCCCGTGAATATAGTTTCATTAGGTTGGTAAGGCACTGAGTGTAGAGACTCTTTATACACAAACATTGGCTGAATAAAAGACTTTGTTGTGTATTAAGAGTCTCTCTACTCAGTGCCATCTTTAAGGTTGAAAGTGAAAGGTCCTTGTTTACACCATGCTTGATACAGGTATATATATATATATATATATATATATATGCATGTTTTGTTCATGGTCTCAAGGGCCTTGAACTTTGACATATTACCCACAATGCATCACCCTGCATGTGCAGTTCAAACCATGAACCATGTTAACCACCTTATCGATCCCAGAACATCTAAGACTTGGGTTGCCTATGTGTAACCCTTTGGCAAATTAATTATATTTGACCAATATCTACCATTTTCCTAACCTAAGTGATCTATTAAAGGCCAACAATACTTGAGTGCAATTGGATAGTGCTCTGTCCTATAACGTTACAGTACATGATAGATTTGTGTGGATACGTCTGCTGTTCATAAACAACATGCTAGATGGTGTGTGAAGAGCAAAAAACCTCCACAAGCCTGGTCTACATTGGACCTATCCTTGGTACTGAATCCAGATTTATATATCAGTTTCACACATTGTACCTGTCCTTGGTACTGATTCATGTATCAGTTCCATACATTGTACCTGTCCTTGGTACTGATTCATGTATCGGTTCCATACAGTGTATCTGTCCTTGGTGCTGATTCATGTATCAGTTTCATACATAGTACCTGTCCTTGGTGCTGATTCATGTATCAGTTTCATACATAGTACCGGTCCTTGGTGCTGATTCATGTATCAGTTTCATACATTGTACCGGTCCTTGGTGCTGATTCATGTATCAGTTTCATACATTGTACCTGTCCTTGGTACTGATTCATGTATCAGTTTCATACTTTGTACCGGTCCTTGGTACTGATTCATGTATCAGTTTCATACATTGTACCTGTCCTTGGTACTGATTCGTGTATCAGTTTCATACATTGTACCTGTCCTTTGTGCTGATTCACATATCAGTTCCATACATAGTACCTGTCCTTGGTACTGATTCATGTATCAGTTTCATACATTGTACCTGTCCTTGGTACTGATTCGTGTATCAGTTTCATACATTGTACCGGTCCTTGGTGCTGATTCATGTATCAGTTTCATACATTGTACCTGTCCTTGGTACTGATTCATGTATCAGTTTCATACATTGTACCTGTCCTTGGTGCTGATTCATGTATCAGTTCCATACATAGTACCTGTCCTTGGTACTGATTCACATATCAGTTCCGTACATTGTACCGGTCCTTGGTACTGATTCACATATCAGTTCCATACATTGTACCGGTCCTTGGTACTGATTCATGTATCAGTTTCATACATTGTTCCTGTCCTTGGTGCTGATTTGCGTGCTAGTTCCTACGAATAAGTATCGTTTTCCAATATTTTTTACAACATACGACATATATTCGCTCATTTTGACGATTTACGGTATGGTTAAAACCTTTTTTTTTTTGGAAACTGACGAAAATTCATGCGCGCGTGGATGTCATCCATATAATCAATTCAAAACGGCCTATTCTATCGGAAAAGTATTACGCTTCGACTTCGATCCGTGTTACTCTTTTTTTACTAAAAGAAGAATGCCATAAAGCGAGGAGACTTGGGTGCCTCCCAAATACGTGTGCAAAATCACAACTGTCCAGTGAGCTGTCATTGATGAATCCGTAACATTTCACACGTAGTTTCTTGATCCTTTATCTACTTCGATGAAAGACGTTTATGTTCAAGTTGGCACAAAATCAAGATTCTTCAAGGCGTCACAATGTCTTAAACGTTAGTCTTGAATGCTTTCGAGAAATAGTGTGGTTGGGTCAAGAGGTTAGTGATATGTAATAAGGAGAACGTTTTTATGCAGATTTACGTTGGGAAGGAAGGTCTCAGCTGTATGACGCATATGTAACTGTTATGTGCCATAAAGGGAGCTTTACTGTGGTCGTGTGGAGCGTAACTCCCAGATTTAATGTTTCTCGTCATCTGGCAAAGACGCAAGAATGACCCAAGTTACGACAAAGACGTGCCTTTGGGGAAATTGGCCGCAACTGTTAATGGCCTTTGTATCTTCTTATTGCAAAGTGGTTTCACTTTTCACGTTGTTTAAATCATGGAATTATTTGTGATTGTAACTAAGCCCAAGATGTTTTTGTGAGCTGCTTTGCCATTTCTTTTACGTCAAAGTCAGTAGCATTTTATATGTCATCCATGGACAGTTTGAACAAATAAGTTATCGCTTTTATTTCAGTTTATTGCTCGATATCAAGACTAGTTGCCCAACTAGCCGGAGGCTATTGCAAAGAGCTGGCTCTAGTCTTGTTACAAGGTCAAGGACCAATTATTTCAGGACAATGAACTATTCAATATTTATAAAAGTCTTGTCTTTCATTAATGCATTATGTTTACCGAAGGAAACATACTGTTTTAGCTCTGTTTCGTCTTCTTCTTCTCCTAACCAATAAGGTCAATGACCTGAACCACGCGTCTCTCACCATGGTAACTGGTGTTGGGTTACATCATGTTGCAATTTCATAGCAGGAGGGATTGAGACTGCTGTCTGACCATTTATATGAATGTGTTTGAGTAGAAATTAACAGAGCAGACCATATGCGAAGGCAAACATTATGCATTTGCTTTGCACATGTTACCTTTCTAGTTCAAAGTAAATGATATATTGAGTGCCTAATGTTGGAATCATTGAAATAAGACTACAGTTACGGAGAGGTCACCTTTGGTATCTAGAGAGAATCAGTTTCTAACAAGGCTTTTGTATCGCGCAAATCTGCTTTTCTCTGCGTTCACGCGTCCGCATCGAACCTGTCGTGCTAATTATGTAAAGCACGTTCCCAGCGATCCCGCCACCGCATCGCAAAGTACCCGAAAATGTCAGCAAGTAGTGCGGCTGTCAGAAAAATCTAATCAAGTGATCTGGTTGCCTGCGCTCCCCCGCGC